GAAAAGACCATCTATTAACAAATTGAGAAAAATAACTTAGATTGAAAACCGTATTGAAGATTAAAAATATGCATGATAACTAAATTGGACCTGCAAAGATTAAAGTGCAGCTTCACTATTCTTGAACTTTTTCTTTTGCGCATCCATTAACACAGCCATGGGCTCCAAGACAAACCTAATGGCAAAACAAGAATTTAAATAATTAATTGAGCATTAATGCCTCAAAAATTCAAAGAGGCACAATGATAATTTGAAGGCATTTTCACAGTTTAGAATTTACATTCTTTCTGCAGCCAAGAAACAAAGATGACAGACACTTTAAGATGCAATACTAAAAATAGTCAAATACTCAATTGTTGGGTTATTACACCACAATACTATGTATTTACTCCAAAAAAAGAAGAAGAAGAATGAACTACAAAATTCCACCACTAAAAGGATAAGAAACCGAAGAACATTAAGAAGAAAACTTCGTCGCTGAAAAGTCAAGTCTTTCAGTGAGTATCCCGTTCGTTCGTTGTTGGGGAGTATTGTGCCATTATATTCCGGTCGTATAAAATAGATAATTATTAGTCATTTTAGAAGTTCATATATTGTATTTTGTTAAGATCTGAGGTTCCATCCTAAAAGGTTAACCTGATAGGAGGAGTAGTCCATGTCTTAATATAGCACTTTGCTGATTCAAAGCATATGAAATATTAGAATTATAATGTATCCATAACTTATACTAGAACTACATAGCGGTAAAAATACGTCAAGGTTGCATCCTACTAGTTCATATGTTGCATTTTATCACTATGACATGTGCATGGTAGAAGTATGTATATTGCTTTTTAGTAAGATTATACATGCACTTTATAAGTTCATGCTGCATCTTATCATTATCGCATCTGCATGTACACCCAACTCACATGCATACTAAATTTATGAGGTTACAAAATGCATAATATTTGTGGCACTTTAAGGTAGAAGTATTTAAACATTTTTTTTTTGCATAAACACAAAATTGATGAATTTCATGAAGATTATTTTTCCTGGCGTGCGCACTGGATTCAAAACCAAAACATTAATTGTGATGAATCTCATAAAGAATAAAAAACGTTATGGCGTGCAAGATTTCATGGGGACAGAGATGGAGATGTGGATTGAGATGGCGATGGGTATGGGGATAAAAATGGAAATAAGGATGGAGATGAATATGACGATGGAAATGGAGAAAAGATATGAACGTTGCAGAGAGAAGATGTAGATTGAGGAGATATACGTACCTTGCAGAGAGAATCAGGGATGATCTTTATTTTTTTCCAAAAACAATACTTTTGCAATTTCACTACCATTATAAACTACATGTAATTAAAGAGTATAAGATGTAAATGAGTGATCATGATTTGTTTGTAGTTGGTAAATTAAGAAAGGTTTGCATGTGATGTCTAATATCTATAAATGCATGCATATATGCATCCATCCATACATTGATACATCCATCCATACACATGTACATACATACATTTATACGTGCGTATGTACGTACATACACACATACATACATGAAAAGAAAAAAAGTGTAGATATGTACACAATTAATCCGACATATTCTAAATCTCTTAATGGTAGAGCGTGCGGGTCATACACGTCCGCCGTGGATATGAGATAAGAAAATTGTTGATCTCCAAGAGATGTGATTAATATTTCTTTAAGTTGTTCAATAAAGCTTGTAGTGGGTGGTGGTAATTTCAGTATGTAGTTGAGTTGATCCCGAAATAAATGACAAGTTGTGTTTCTATGTTTGTTTTGTCCATGAAAGACACAATTTGATGGGACGTGGAGTGCAATTGCACAAAATAGAGTGATTGCTTGAGTATGATGAACTTCCAGAGATATAAGAAGAGATTTGGGCCATATTAACTCAAGTCAAAGTTATTATAGACTCATATTTTGATATAGCAAAAGATGAGGACATAATGACGTGTTTCTTGATACATCGATAAATAGGAGGATGGACAAAAGTAGCATCTTTGTGAACTTGTCGTGGTGTTTACATGAAATTAAAAATTGATTAACCGAGTAGGAAATATATCTTAGAATAAGCGAGTAGCAAGTAATTAAGCTTTCCATTTGCACGACGATCATGCTCAAGTTTGGGGAGAAAGACAATGAGATGGTGGTTTTTAATTTATAACCCAAAAATGAGTGAGTTTTGCACTTCCGTGGCTTTGTGTCCAACTTCAATCAGAATGCTCTTGATGCATTTATGCTAATGTCAAATTCCTTAAGGTTTTCAAATTTAAGAGATTAACTTGATAAGATGAGCATTTCACGATCTTATATTTTATTTTATTTTATTATATTGTATACCGAACCACTATGTGGAAAAATCACATCAACATATCTTTAGCTCAAATCGGGTAGGATAATTTGAGGGTAAATAAATGGGTCAAACAGACTCTAAATGGGTTAACCTGAATCGTGAGTGCCAAATAAACAATCAAATCTCAATCAAACCCTACTACTTTGATAACATGAAGAAAACACAAATAAAAGTGAAAAGTTTTTTCTTAAAATTCCATCTGAGAATGCATGTGTAATGCGTATATACAATCACCTCTCATCATTTACTAGTCTCCCAAAAAGAGAGCAAATACTATCTCCTAAGTAGTTAATACATATGAATGCTAAGGAAAAAGAAGGAAGCTTCAGAAGGACATTGCTAACACACGCGTACCCGGAAGGAAAATATATTTAGTGAAATTACAGATATAGTTATGTGTAAAAATAATCCCATGCATATCACTTTCAATGCAAGCACAATAGACTATGACTTGAATATGTGTACTTGTATTCACATTTAATGACATGATTTCATAAAAAAATTGAACGAGACTTTAGTACTATAAACCGTTGTTCTAAAACTCGCTAGGCGCTAGTCGGGCGGTTGAGGGTCGCCTAGGCGGCCGATCAGACCGATTTTTTGGCCGACTAGACCAATTTTTTGGCCGACTAGGCCGACTAGGCCTCTACAGTTAGGGCCTCCTAGGCCGCCTAGGCCGATTTTTAGAACAGTGCTATAAACACACACATTCTCATTGAACCTTTTTAGAAACATACCTTCCATACCTTATTCGTGGGAGACGTAATGTAAATCAAATGTGGCAAATACACTAACAACAAACAAGGATTATGCATCCTGGGAGATGTAATAGAGCCAATGGAGCCATGTGGACCAGAGCAAAGCTAAACTTATTTATCTTCCTAGCTACTCAAATATTGAGTGAACTACAAACAAATCAAAGAAAACAAAAAATAATTGTACTTCTAAAATATGACACTCCACCTATGCAGAAGCGGTTGAAGAACTAGTGACCACTCCCTTTTCTCCTTCAAGTGAACTTGGTATGACCGTTTTAGCCAATTCACCCGTGGCACCAACTCCACCGTCCATATTAGATGAATTAGTAGTCACTTCCTTCTTCTCGTCATTTTTCTCATCTTTTGTTTCATTCTTATCACTCATTCTTTTCTTTTCTTCATCTTTAACATCTTTTGTTTCCTTACTAGTGTCCTTTGGATCATTTGTATCCTTTGCAGGAGGGGGTGGAGGCATCATATGTGGTGGGGGCTTTACCTTCAACTTCTGAAGAACTTGACGCATTCTTGATAGGTCAGTTGGCTTACCAGGCTTTGGACCTTGAATGACCGTGATTCCAGGTTTCCTTTCATCTTCCTTCTTTCGTCCCCTTTTCTCAATATTTGCAACCTCGCGTGGTATTAGCTCCGCAATTGCCTTCCAGTAGTGCTTATCAGCTTCTTTATGGAATTTCTCCTGGTTGGTTAGGTACAATTTCTCACTTTCTCGATTTTGGGCTTTGGTATTGTCACAATTTTTGTTCCTCTTCTCATAAAATGCTCGGATATATTCATTAGCTTCTTGGATAATTTGGTTTCTCATTTCCTTTTCTTTATTTTCCTTCTCCTCAAGATATATAGCATTTTGGCGACGCCACTCACGGAACGCGACTGCTTCCTCCACCATCAGGTTGGGGTCCGGAAGAAGAGGCCCACCCCCACTACCGCCAGAGTCAAGGATCCCCTCGGAATCATAAGGCTTGGACTGGACATCAGACCTAGGAGAACCACGTGCCTCTGAGCTTTCGATGGGATAATCTGTATACTCTTGATTTATAGAGGTTGCAAACCCGTAAGCCTCAGAGGACCGCACACCATCGTTATTACCAATACCGCCACCAAAATAATCATGCGGTGGAGGCTGAGGAGGAGGAGGGATGTCGTCGTTGCCTTCCACTGTTGAAGGTTCGTCAAATGCGTAGTGTTCTGACGGGATTTGATGATCATAACCAATGTAGCCATCATCATTGAAGGGTTGTGAAGAAGGGTTGATTCCATCGCCTCTCCTCATGTCATTGCTCTCGTCCGATGACGTCATTCCTGAGATGATGCATATTTATATGAAAGTGATATTTCTATCAAACATATATTTACACATGCATACATTCACATTCATACCTGCAAAATGAAGCTTGAGGGTGTGTAATATGAAAATTAAGGATGTGTCGGAAATCTCCTCTGCTTGCTACTTAACTAAGCATGAATTCTTACGGAAAATGTAAAGTGAGTATGTAAAGAGAGGAGAGTGCGGAAATACATTGATTGGAGACAAATAGTTTCGGAGTTTAAAGAATTAAACAAACTAAAATTGAAGGAGGAGAGTAAAAGGAGGCCATGTAGAATTTAAACAAAAAAATGAAGTGACATAAAGAGAAGAAATGTTTATTGATGATCACAAACATTTGGTGGAGGGGAGTGTTTTGTGCTATAATAGTTATTGTTGTTTATTCCTAGCTAATTCCATTTTTCTAAATTGTGTGTGGGCGCATATATGAGTGAGTAAGATCACATGCAGTCCAAAGCCATTAGGAGCTCAAAATGTCATAAAAAATGGATATTTTGGAACACTAAATTCGTACATTGGCATAAAAATGAAGAGGTTAGAAGTGGACAGGGGATGAGGGGGTTCATATTCGGCCGGTGGATCGACTCTCAAACAACCAGATGTCCGCACAAGAAACAATAGTAAAGGCAGGTGGGAGCAAAGGTAAAAATCTCTTTTTAAAGCGTAATAACTTTTTATTTCTACTTCAGTTCAAACATTACAACAAATAAAATCAAAATTTATAACTTCTCATTAGTTTTCATATGAAACCGAAATTCCATTTAAAAAGTATTTTAAAAAAATTATGTTCCAATAGCTTGAATTTTTAGGCTAAAAACTACATGAAACATAAATTTTTAATCCATGTGCCTCAGCTCCACAAATAACTCAACTTTACTTGAACCCATTTTATTATTTATTAACTGAAACAAGTCAAAAAATACATTTAATGAATTTTGTATTCTTTAACATCAAAATGTGCATTTTTAATTTCATAATGATTTAGGGAATAAATCAATAAAACATTGCTTACAATAATCTAATTAATGCCTTACTAAATTGATATGTAAAAAGTATCACGAGTGTATTTTTATTGACGTTATTGAAATGCAGAGAAAAGGGATATTGAATGAGTCTATACACTGTTCCCATATCGACACATTCTATATTTAAGATTTTAGATGATGCAAGGATGCAGAAAGCTGACTATGAGTAGCGATGGTGATACATACGCCAAAGAGTATATAGTTCCATGTTTGCTAAATTATTTCATCATTTGCTTCCAAACACCCCTTAGAAAAGTTAATATTTTTTCTAGCATCAGTCGTACAATCTCTTGTCAAATTTGAGTGAATACATACACATCTGATTGACATGAGAAAGGTAATTTAGATATAGTGGAGAAAAATGACATTTCCAACAAATACGAATCATTTATATATATCCTCCTCCCTTTCCCGTTATGATTGACTTTGATGTTTTATGTGTTAACCTCAAATATTAATAAATAAATAAATGAATACATGTTTATGTTTGAGTATGCGAGTTGATTTGTGAAGTTGTGCTAACATGCATTTAGAGATAACTTAATGTAATATAACTGAAACTACTTTGACATGTCTATTATAATAAACAAAATATAAATAAAACATTGATGATAAATAAAAGATAAAAGAGAAATTGATGATCGAGTGTGTTCAAATATTTCTAATATGTGTTATGATATATATTGGATGTTAAATTGAGTTTCTTGTAGAAATAAGTTTAAGGTCAAATATAATATTGTTATTGCTTATATTATTTTTGATTCATTTTTAAAATTTTAAAAGTTGGACTGAAAAATAACATTGTTAACTTTTAGTTTTGAGATTATTATTACGAACTTTCTATTAACATCTTTTATTCAAGAATGTGTAAAAGTAAGAATCATTAGTGTCAAAATATGTCAACTTAATCCTAATTTATTCCAATTTTATAAAAATCACAACTATTTCCAAATTTTTCGTTCCAATTCAATATATCTTTTAATGTGATTTCAGAATACCTAACTTTCATTATTAAAAGTAACCTGCATGTTATAAAATTATAACTAGTAACTAATCATAAAGTGCATAGAAAATATTGATATGAGATACATAGGGTATTAAATTATAGGTTTCACTACAGGTGGCCCTGAAAATGCTTGGCACACCTTTCTTACATGTCCGGGAAGTGTAGAGCGCTGGAACGAGCTAGGCTTCTTAGCTGAAATATAGAACCAGTGATGCACATGACAAAAAGCTTTGTGGAATTCTTTCTGGGAAGAGTTGCTAATCTTACGGAGAATAAACTGAAAATATTCGGAATGAACCTTTGGAGTATATGGCAGAGAAGAAATAACTTATTGTGGGAGGGAGTCTATGAGACTCCGAAACAAGTGATAACTATAGGGGCCGAACTGTTGCATGCTTGGGAGAGAGCCCGCTTTTTGCATAGTCCAGGGCAGACTAGGAGTAATAGTTGTACAAGATGGCAAGCTCCACCTCATAACCATGCTAAATGCAACATAGATGCAGCTCTATTTGAGGAAGGTAAAAGGGCAGGTTATGATGCATGTGTCTGAGATCATAGGGGTTGTTTTTGCATGGCACGAACGGGGTGGATTAAAGCATCTTTAAGCCTAACGGAGGCATATGCATGGGGTATGAGGGAGACATTATTGCATTGGATGGAGAATGAAAGATTTGAACATGTTATATTTAAATCGGATTGCAAGCAACTTGTGGAAGACATTCTAGCTGCACGGGGTTTTAAGTCGGAGTATGGCGCACTAGTAGCGGATTGCAGGTCACTTTGAGTTCCAACAACAGTTCTAATGTTGTTTTTACTAAGCGTCAAGCGAATAGTAGTGCCCACGCCTTAGCAAAGGCATGTATTAGTTATGCTTCTTGGAATGATTTTTCATATATTCCTTTTTGTATTCTCGAGACTATAAATAATGAAATACATTGAATCTTTCTCTTAAAAAAAGGTTTCACTACAGGTTTATTTATCTAACAATTATATGACACCAATATTGCATATCTAAAGTTAAAAAAAATATGAAACTTCAACTGATGGAGGTCTTTAGGTTAAAATTTTTCTTAAGTAGATTCAAGTGCTAAAATTTAGATCTCATTGCCAAAAATCTTTTTTATGTCTTTCAGTTTTTTTTCTCTCTCTCTCAAAAATAGGCCTGAAACAAAAACAAAAAACTAAACTCTCATTTCATTTATTTTTACATCAAAATGTTTGACTTTTTAAATCATGACTATTCGTAAAAAAATAAATTGCCAAAAAATCGATATATAATAACAAAAGTAAAACTTTGATTTAAAATTGTTGGGTGAATATATTGACATTGCATGATTGCAAATTAAAACTGAATTAAAACTGAATGGACCGAGTGATTACATATAACTGGTAGGAAATTTGATATATTAACTGTATTAGTATATTAATTGTACAATTCATTTGTTTTGGATACAAAGGAAAAGAATTGTACGGAGTATAAGGGGTAGTTGGATTTACTTTTTAAAAATGTTTCTAGCCCTTCACGAAGTCGAAATAGATATTGGAGTGTTTGGATGCAAGTGCATAAATACTTCTGAATGTTTCAAATTGTTATTATAAGTAGTTTTTTAGAAGTCAAGGGAGATCAACTTTTGAAAAACTGATTCTCGTGTGCTTTTAAAAAAGAAGAAGTAGAATCAATTCCAAACACCCCCTAAGTTATATACGAAGTACTATGAATATCAATGAATTTAGTAGTCTTAACTCCAGCATTACATTTCACGAAAATTACATTTGTACACACAATTTGTGCACTTTTTGGACACACCTCCTAATTGTTTGTATATACTGATAGTTCGTTTAAAAACATTGCAATTCTATATGTTTAAAACTTGTGTATAGAAATGTACTCTCTCTATCCCTCAATATTTTACAACTTTCTGTTTTTTCTTGTCTCACGGAATTTGCCATATTTATTTTCAAGTAAAGAATTTTTGGTTTTTATTAATTATTATCTCTCATGCACAAAGCTCAATTACACAATTTTTACTTTATTTTACGATTCTTCATGTGGATCAAATTTGATCAGTATTAAGAGATGAAAGAAATATAAATTTTGGATAGGAGAAGAATTAACCTAAAAAAGATTAGCCCCCCATCTTGACTCTCGAGGACTCCCCAAATCGAACGAGAGAATACAAGTTAAGTTTTGATCAAACTAGAGAAAAGAGAGTTTCTTCTTGTACACACTTTTATACTCATCTTATATTCACTGTCTGGGAGGATTTTTTTATCTGTGAATCCGATTCATAGACAAAATAATTTGCATAGACATATTTTGTCTATGGCCGAGATTCACAGACAAAATAAAAAACTCTTCATAGATATGATGGGTACAAAAGTGGATATAAGAGTGAATATAAACATATTTTTTTAAGAGAAAAATGAATAAGATTTCACCCCAAATATACATTTTTATTGTTGGATAAAAAACTACAGTATTCTTAAGGAGTTTTGCTAGGTGTACACAAAATTTGTATACCTTTTGTGTACACTTGTCTGTCCTTCGCAGATAAGTTGTCTGTCACAAATAGTCACAGACCACTTAGGGTTGGTTTGCAACTCCTTTTAAAAAAACACTTCTCAGCTTTTGGCTTTAAAAAAGCACTTATTTTTCCAAACACTATAACTTTTATTTTTCTCGGCTTCCACGTCAAAAGTGCTTTTACTTTTTTCTATTACACAAAAAACACTTATTTTACCAAACACTATCCACTTTTACTTTTCAAAATCACTTTTTATCAAACACTATCAACTTTTATTTAATCACTTCTCCCCATTTCATTAAAAAAAGCACATTTTTAAAACAGAATCTTATAATGTATAAGACCCATTTTTTCATTCTCAAGAGATGCACGAAATGAACCTCTCAAATTAAGAGATGCTCATCACATCAAACCCAACTCGCCCTCCCTATTAGCTTTAGCTGTCCGTAGTCCGCCTGACGGACTTACAGCAGCTTTTCGCTATTGGCCTTTCCTATCTCACATTCTCTTCTCAACACATTATCCATCTTCTCTCCTACCAAAGTTCTCCACGCCCAAATCCTCGCTCCCTTCATAGTGCTCGCACAGTTAGCTCACACGAAATGCCTGCTTGGTGGGGGAGAAAGTCCACCAAGAAGCCCGCCAAAGACCCACAACCCCATTCCCCCAATAGTCCAAGTAGCGTCAAGAATGGAGCAGTAGAGAGAAGGGATAGACCAAAGAGCTTTGGTGAGCTCTCCGGAATGGTGGAAGCGAGGAACTCACCCAGACCCAGCAGAGATTTCCCTATCGCAAGAGGCTCTTCGGGATTCTCTGGTTTCGATTCTCCCTCTCCCATTGATAGAGGCCATCCGCTGCCCAAGCCGTCCGTGTCTCCTTCTACTACTGGCAATGATCACGTGGTAGGGTTTGGATCCGGTTCTGATTCGGGATCGAGTGTTAGCTCTCTGGGCTCCTGTGATGACCATAACCTTCTCAGCAGCGATCGCTCTCAATTCTCTTCTTTCAGGTCTGTTTTGGTTCCCTTGTCAATAAAGTTTCGATTTTTATTACGCAGTACAAAAAAAGAGTGAGATAATTGTGTTCCTGTGATCTAATTTTGTTACTCACCTAGCTTAAGTGGGTTTCTGAATTTTATTCTTATTTCCCCTTATCTTTGGTTATCTGGGGATTTATACAAAGTGTTGGTTGGAGAAACATTCATAATTCCTACTCCATATCATATAACAGAGGAACTGGAGATACCAAGCACAGTCCAGTCTCACAAAGTCCTGTCCGTTCAAGGGCGGCTACTACCAGCTCCTCGCCTCTACATTCTCGGTCTGGAGGTTCTAATTTAGAGGATGGGAAGAGTGAATGCCACAGATTGCCTCTTCCACCCGCATCTCCTAATCATCTTCATCCAGCTTCTCCAACGAGTCCGTCTACCTTGCCAAATCCAAGAACTCTCTGTATTGCTGAAGGCTCAACTGGTAATTTGTCAAAATGGAAGAAAGGCAGGCTTCTGGGAAGAGGCACATTTGGAACTGTGTATCTCGGATTCAACAGGTATATGACGCTTTCACCTCCTCCATACAGAACTTGGTTGGCCTCTCTTTAGGCCAATTGTAAAGCCTTCCTTGATGGCAGTAAGTTTAAGAATGCGTACCTTTGTTAATTAATATTTACAGTGAGAATGGGCAAATGTGTGCGATAAAAGAAGTCAAAGTTGTTGCAGATGATCGAACATCCAAAGAGTGTCTCAAGCAATTGAACCAGGTTTGACTTATTCCCTTTGATGAATTCTCTGATTTCTCTCAATATGCTTTTTTGAAATCCTCTGGTCCTTCAAACTTCTATAGCGTTTCATTATTTTCAAATGCATTTTTGACAAATTTTAACTTTTTTCTTTCTTCTAGGAAATCGCATTGCTCAGTCAATTTTCACATCCAAACATTGTTCAGTATTATGGAAGTGAACTGGTATGTGGATAATAGTCGCACAAGAGTGGAGAATTGTACAGTCAAATTCATTGTGTATGATTGCCAAATTCCCGTGCTGGTCCTTTCACATAACATGTATTTGTAATTTGTCTGTAGGGTGACGAAACACTCTCGGTTTACTTGGAGTATGTTTCTGGGGGTTCCATCCATAAATTGTTGCAAGACTATGGATCCTTCAAGGAGGCTGTTATTCAAAATTATGCTAGGCAAATTTTATCTGGCCTGGCCTACTTGCATGCAAGAAACACTGTGCATAGGTAATTACTTGACATCAGCGTAACACTGACCAAATTACATTTCTTCAAAAAAAGCAAAATCATGGCTTTTCTGCAGGGATATTAAAGGAGCAAATATATTAGTAGATCCCAATGGTGAGATCAAGCTTGCAGACTTTGGCATGGCAAAACATGTAGGTATCAACTTACAGGTTTTGGGAATTTTTTGCAGTAATGCAATTATACTGTATTTGGTGAAAGATGCTGTTTAACTAATTTTAGCACCTCGGTTTCAACAGAAATGGCTCTGTAGGAAAAGCAGTTTTCTTGGATTATTCTCACTAAAAGTGTTTCCCTCTTCTTTTCCTAACCCAATCACTCAAGACTTTGAAGGTTATATTGTTGTTATGCTTATTCAAAAGCAGCACACACACTACAAGCAGTAAGAGAACAAGACAAACAAAAAGAGATGCTTGAATTATACTTTTTGCATGCCTTTTTTTTGAGTCATCTTTCACACAAGGGATGTATCACAGAAAAAGCTGTTTTTAATGAATCAAATGTTTTGCCTTTGACTTCCAGAAGTGCTCTAATCATTTTTGGTTAGGATTAAATAATTTTGGTAGGCAGGCTGTTTACGGTGGTGGTAATGTAAAGTAAGACATTTACTCTTTACCAAATAAGGAGAGAGAACTTTATTTAGGGACGAAAGGAGAAGTTGATTGTGTTAAATTATTAATCATTACTCATTATTACATGATTGTGTCAGTCAGCTGCAAGTGCAAAGCATCTAATAGAATAAATGCACTAAAAGAATTTTTAAAAGGCACCACATTGTATAAAGTATAATAAATGAACCTTTATTATCAAAACATGAAGCATCAGACACTAAAAAGAACATAGTCAACATACACATAGAAGACACAAGGAATATGTGAAGATTGGTTTGGAGCAACTGCGCAAGTCAAAAGATCATATGTGGTGGGCTGTGGATGAGTGGATGGATTGTTTAATGTCACAAAGAAAATATGAAGGAAGCAGTGTTCTTATTTACCTTTTTGGCTTTTCCTTTCAAAAAGCTCTGGTCATTAGATTTTAAAAAAAGTCAAACAGCAGCTACTTCCAAAAGGTTTCTAGCAATGAAACATACGTTTTTTGACTTTCTATCACTTTGCTGACAATGTCTTATTTTG